TGGTTCCATTTACAAAACCTTGAAGTGACATAATTCTAGGAAGGGAAAACAGATTGGTGGTTGCCAAGGGGTGGGGCTGGAGGGAAGTGGGTGTGGATAGACAAAATCAACAATAGATCCTCATGGTTTATTGGGCTGTTACTGGGGTGAGTCAGAGAATCCAAGAGAGGGTCTGGAGAGAAATGGAAACCAAGCAGCTCTGGGCACCCCAGTGGGCAGAAGTGCATGGACTTGCCATTCCTGGTGACTACCAGGCTCTGGAGTCACCATCACCAGAGGGAGTCTTCAGAGGAGAGAACCTGGTTGATAGGGCTTTGGAGGGCTATCCAAAGATCCGCATCCTTCTTACTTTCTGTCTTTCTCATTTTAGACATCCTAGCAAGTGTGACGTCGTTCTCATTGTGGTTTCGTTTCACACTTCCTGATGGCTAATGACGTTAGCATCTTTTCAGGTTATTGGCCTGAATAACATCTTTTAACACATGTCTGGATCGGGGTGGCAGCGCCCCATGGCTGAGGCCATGCTGTTATGGCGTCCTGGTGTGCTGAGTTGTTTTCGAGGTGGCTGTAAGCAGGCTGGTGACGAAGGTCTCCTGTGAGGATACAGATCTTGAAGCTCTGTGAAGGGACGAGATTCCCAGGGACAGCAAGATGGGGGAAGAGTGAAAATTGCTGAAGCTTGGTTGGAGGACTCTTTGAAGTTAAGCGTGTCAAGAGAGGGTGGAGTCTCATCGTAGACCCGCTGTCCCCCCTGCGGTGCGGGGAGGGCAGGACCAGCCTAACTAGGGACGAGGCCAGTGACAGGCATAAACTGTTAGGATGAGGTCTGAGGGTGGGAAGGTCCTGGCAGGTGGCAGGCAGTCGAAATAGGCCAGGGAGTGGGAGCTCAGGAATGAGATCCCTCCATAAAGGTTTGGGCAGGGCAAGAACCTGGGCCGGCACCTCTGGGCGGAAAAGGGCCTTACACACCTCTTCTCCTTCAGTCCTCACTGCTGCCCTCTGGTGGTGGCTGTCCCCATCTCGCAGAGGAGGAAGTTGAGAGGTTTCTCAGCATGAAAGGAAAGAGCTGGGGGGTGAACCCATACCTGACTTATCCCAAACTCTGTACTTTTCTCGAGACGCTATATTGTTTCAGTATCCTGTGGGGATCTAGAGAAGAAAGGGATTATTATTATTTGGAAGAATTTGGCCTGGTGGGGGGGCTGGGTCTCAGCCTATAATGTTGACTGTTCAGAAAGATTCTTCCTGATTGACCATCTAAAGTAGGCCCCCTGGGCCCAGTGCCGTGGCTCATGCCTGTAATCTCAGCACTTTGGGAGGCCAAGGCAGGAGGATCACTTGAGGCCAGGAGTTCAAGACCAGCCTGGGCAACAAAGCAAGACCCCATCTCTACAAAAAATAGAAAAATTAGCCAGGCGTAGTGGCATGCACCTATAGTCCCAGCTACTCAGGAGGCTGAGGCAGGAGGATCCCTTGAGCCCAGGAGTTCAAGGTTATAGTGAGCTGTGATCGCACCACTGCATTCCAGCCTGGGCGACAGAGCAATGCCCTGTCTGTAACAAATAAATAAATAAGTAAATAAATAAAGTAGGTCCCCTTACTAGTTCTCACATGGCACCCAGTTTGTTTTCTTCATTGCCTTCATCATAATTCAGGATCATATATTTATTTGTGAATACAGTTTACTTTTATCGTAAACTATAGTTTACAGAAAAAGGACACCAACTCTTTGTTCTGCACTCTATCCGCAGTGCCTACGGAGGTCCCTAGCCCACAGCAGGCACTCGAGAGTGACCTGGTGGATGTGTGAGTGAGGTATGGCACAGGTCCAAACCCTCCGAGGGAGACAGTGTGAGTTTCACCTTCCACACCAGGGTATGATGGGGCTTGTTCTCTCAGGACGGCATAAAAACGATGTTTATGTTGCAGGGAGGAGGACCAAGGCCCAGGAAGCAGGAAGGTGTGGGTGAGGGTGTGACTAGCAGGGGTGTAGATGGAACAACTTGAGACCCTGGGCAGAATCAGACTCTTTGGCCACTTGATGTCAGGGCAGGTCCTCGGCAGCTGGGGTTGGGGAGCTCGGGTGGCTCATACCTCACTTATTCCTCAGAGGAAGTTGCCAGAAAGCTGACTTCAGTGACGACTCAGGGAATAGTCTTGTAGTGCCAGAATGTGTCCTGAGGAAAACAGATGAAGTCAGTTCTGCCTCAGTCATTGCTGTCATCTTTTCTGCACTTCTTCATTCAGAAAATATTTATTGGCATCTATTAGGTGTTAAGAAGTCCTGCGCTTGGTGCGGGGAATACTGTAGGTAACTGTCCAGGCCCTGATCTCAAGGAGCTCCCAACCCTGCAGGAGACAGTGACGATCCAAGGCTCTAAGCAACATCAGGGAGAGGCCTGCTTGGCCTCGTTCAGCCTTGTATCGCTAGCTTTGCCCTGGGTTTAGTGCTGAGCAGGTTCCTGACCCAAAGGAGCTCACAGTCTAGAGGGAGTGACAGACAAGAGAAGAGGCAGCTACCATAAAGGGTGAGAAGTGGGTGAAGAAGAAGCTCCTGTGGGAGCCTAGGGAAGGTCGTTGGGGAGATCAGAGAAGGTTCAGAGAAGAGACTTCTAGGGCAAAGGACCTGCAGAAGGTGGCCAGGCAAGGCTCAGTAAGGAGGGGGAGGAGTGGGAAGTGTACAGGCACAGGAAACAGCCTGTGCCAAGCCCTAGAGGTGACAGAACATGATCTTTTAGGGGAACTCAAAATAGTTCTTTGTAGCTGGAGCACAGAGTGGTAAAAAATCAGGCAGGAGTCCTAGGTTGGAGGAAGCTTCCTAGGAGCCAGCTTCAAAAGGGGTTTAGCACAGTAGGGGTGGTCACTGGGGCCTCAGACCCAGGGGGTCTAATCTGGAAACTGGGCCCCCATCCTCAGTCTCAACCTGATGAACCAGCACTCTTTGTCCCCTAGTTTCTCCAAAACTAAATTCTTCCTTGCCCTCTCCTGCCAGTAACAGGAAAGCATCCCTCACTGGGTTTTTCTTTTATTTTCTTTCTTGTCTTTCTTTCTTTCTTTTCTTTCCTCCCTTCCTCTCTTTCTTTCTTTCTTCTTTCCTTTTTTTTTTTTTTTTTTTGACTAGGTTTTGCTATATTGCCCAGGCTGGCCTCAAACTCCTAGGCCCAAACGATCCTCCTGTCTCAGCCTCCCAAGTAGCTGGGACTACAGGTGTGCAACACCACGCCCAGCTTTTAATTTGTTTTTAAAGACTTTCCCTCATGTTCTCATTCATTTTGACAAATTGAACACTGACTCATTATTCAAGCAGAAAAAGCACCAGAAAGCACTAGAAACTGGCTTTAAACACAAGAACAAGAGTGGAATGGAAGTTGCATCCTTTCCTCCTTACTACTTTAACTTACTGAAAGTTTTTACTTAGTCACTAATAACATCAGCCTAACTTGTTTTAGTGGGATGACTATTTTTTAAGTGTGTTTCTTCTTTTTCCCCTTCAAATTTAATTTCCACTTATTCACAAATTATGCAAAACCACAATAATTTTCTTTGACCAAAAGTGACTGAGTTACTTTAGTGCTGGATTTCATTTTCTCTGTGATCGAAGTCTGCTGCTCAGCTTCACTCGAGAATGTGAAAGTCCATTTAAACTTGAGACACAATGCGCATGCCGTCTAGTTCAGCACACCCACGTGCTGTGCATGAATGAACCCCATTTCCATCCCCCTCCTTCCTTTGGTTGCTTCCTCTTGGTCTCCAAACATGTGCTTCCTCAGAACCCTCAACTCTGGGCCCCTCTCCAGCCCAGGGTCCACTTCCACCTGCTTTGACAACTAAGATTTTCCAAGAAAAGACCTATTTTCATTCCTGTTCCTCAACTCCCCTTTGCCACCAAATTTGCTGTCTCCAATGGCCCTCTGATGCCCAAGTCAACTGTCTCTTTCTGTTCCTTGTTCTCCTGGACTGCTCCAGGTTTTTGACCCTGTGGGTCTCCCTTCCTGGGGACACCCACTTGCTCTATGTTATTTGCTTCTGATTTCTTTTCTCGGTTCCTCCCAGGGCAGCTGCCCAAGGTTGGCTGGTCTGCGGCTCACCCTTCTGCATACTCTCTCCTGCAGCAGTCCCGCCTGTCCTCAGGCTTTTCCTCACCCAGAGTGGCTCCCAGATCTCCCTGTCCAGCCGGACTTCTGAGCTTCATAGCTGCCTTTTCCGCGGGCCTGCTAGGCAGCGTCACCTGCGCATTGATACCAGCACGTCCAAAACCTACTCTTTTACCTTCCAGCCAGAGGTGCTTTCTCGGTATTGTTTTTACCTTGCTCATGGGTTCTGGTAAGCCGAGCTAGGATCAATCTGACTCCATGTCTCAAGTTTGTCTGAAATCCAGCTCAGTGTATTTTAAGAGCCCTGGGCTGGGAGGCAGTCCAGGGTCCTGGTCCCAGCTTTGTTCTGGGCTTCCGGATGGCTTTGGACAAGTCAGTAGAACTTCTTGAACTTGTTGCCTCTCATACAATAGAAACGGCTACTTACTACAAGCCAAGAACTGTGATCAGAGGTTTCTCTATATCATCTCACAGTTCTATTTTATTTTCCTACTTCAGGGAGAAAGGAAACGAATGCTCAGGAAGACTAAGTACCGTATCCATGATTAAAAGCTGGTTAGTGGCGGAGGCTGGACTTGAACCTGCTCTATGACTCTAACTCCAGAAACCGTTTATTTCATTACACCGAAGAACGTGCTCTCCCCATGCCCTAGCAGCTGCACGTAGGCTCTGGAGGCCGCCGTCAGCCTGCTTCAGGGAGCGCTTGCGCCCGGGTGCGCGCACGGACCCCGACACCGTCAGAGACCACGTTGCCCCGCCGGGAGCCGCTCTCAGGAAGCAGGGGAGGGGGCCGGGCCTCCGCGCCCCGCCCCTCCCGCTGGAGGCCCCACCCCTCGTCCCGATTGGCTGTCGGGAGCGAGGCTGGGCCCGGGGATTGGCTGCGCGGCGGCCGCCGGCTGACGTGGCGGGCCGGCGTGTGGGCCCAGCGGAGGCTGCCCGCAGGACTCGCTGAGGCGGCGGCCGGACCGAGGCGGGCAGTGCGGCGTCGGACTGCGAGCTGCCGCGATGCCGCTGGAGCTGGAACTATGTCCCGGGCGCTGGGTGGGCGGGCAGCACCCGTGCTTCATCATTGCCGAGATCGGCCAGAACCACCAGGGCGACCTGGACGTGGCCAAGCGCATGATCCGCACCGCCAAGGTGAGGGAGCTCCGGGAGAGAGGGGCGCCGGGTGGGGCGGGGCCTCGGGGAGCGCGGACCGGTCTCCTCGCCCTGTCGTTCTCTGCATCCGCCTGTCCTGTCGATCGATCGCCAGTTCCCTCTCCTAAATCTTTGGAATCCCCCATCGCCCGCTCGACTGCCCTCCTGACTTGTCTGCATTAACAGCAGTTGCCTCCTAACTCGACCTCTTTCCTCCCGCTTCTGGTGCCAGAATGATCTTTCCAAAATACAGACTTGATAAGATCATAGCACTCCTGGCACCTTCAGTGGCTCCCTATTGCCCACAGGTAGAGTCAAACCTTTTAACATAGCCGTCAAGATCTTAATGACCTAGCCCCTTCCTGCCCATCATATTTAATCTCTGACATCCTCAAACAACACTGAATTACTTCTAGGAATTGCAGTTTCTGGAAGTTGCTGTGGTCTCTCTCACCTCCATTCCCTGTGTGTGGAATATGCAGTAGTTAAAAGCCAGGGCTCTGAGTTCAAATCCTGCCTCCATCACTTCCAAGCTGTGTGAACATGAGCTAGTTAGTTACTTACACTCTGCGAACTTGTTTCCTTATTTGAAAACATGGCTTGATAATAATGGTACTTATCTCTGAGTTGCTATGAGGATCAAATGAGATAACTCCAGTAAAGCTCTTAGCCCAGTACTTGACACATAGGATTCAATAAATGTCACCTATTAGTGATATGATGTTTATCAATTTCAGTGCTTCAGAGCTGTGTTCAGGTCTCCTTCTTGGATGCCTTCTCCAATGCCTCTTCACCAACCCCTCCCCATTTTATTGTGATTTCTGTTTAAGCCTCTCTCCCCCTCCCTCTGTTAGACTTTGAGTCCCCTGAAGAGGGGGACTGCCATGTTCTTCATTATGACCCCAGCCCCCAACATAAGGCCTGCACTGTGATTCCTTGGTTTAGCCATAGGGCACACCATCTTTCCTTTCCCTGTATCAGTTCACCTGATTTTGTATCATTTGTGATTAGGTTTTGTCTTACTCTTCTTTCAGGACTAACTGCTTTTATGGAAGCCTAACCACTGAGTCATAAAAATATTTTTTAAAAGTAGCAATTGTTAACATTTTTTGAGTGCTTACTCTACCAGATACTGGGCTAAGTGCTTTAAATGCACCATCTCATTTAAGTCCTACAATAACCCAATGCTGTGATGCTGTAGATTCCTTTTAAAGGCTAAGAGAAGATAAGTGACTTGCTCAAGAGCACATAGCTAGTAAATACAGTGATAGATATTTAAAGCCTTTGCTCCTAGCCACAGGGCTCCAGCCTTTGTACATTGTTTCCTAGGGGGAAATTCCTGCTCTTAATTTAGGGGAACAGCCAATTTTTCCAAGGTATGACTTCTTTGAATGCTGTAAAAATTCCTAGAGATATGGAAGTTATGCAAACAAAGTTTTAGTTTTTCTCTCTCACTTTCTGTCTTTTAATTTTGGTGGATAGTTCTCCAGGGGGAGGAGAATGAAGAGTTGAGGCTACATTAAAGTGGAAAGAGCCCTAGCCTGGTATCAGGATATCATTACTAGCTGAATGATCTTGGGCAGGTGACTTTTCCTCTCTAGGCCTCAGTTTTCCATGCTCTACAATATGTGTATGTGTTTATTTTCAAATTTAAAGCAGTAGAATTTCTTGAAATCTTTATGTTTTAGGATTTTTAAATTTTGTCTTGGCTGCCTTCTGTAGATGGAGTCACATTTGCAAGTTTAGTTACCCAGAGTTATGTACACTCTGGCTTGCTCATACAACAAATCTGTTTGCCATACTAAAAGGAGAGTTTGTTACATTATTTTTATTAAACTATATAATTATATATAAATGTAAACATATTATTATAATTAGAGATTTACTAATTGACTATACTTTTCACTTTCAAATATAGGTGAAAATGGAGTATCATCATGGTGTTCTACTGCTTGTTTTTACCATTAGAGAAGCAATAAAACTTTGAACAAAGAAACCATTGTCATGATAGTAAAACAGGAGCAATGATTCCTGAACGTAGAGTTCCCTATAGCATTAAACAGATAAAGAAATCACTCATTTTTTAGAAGAAACTGAGAAAAGAAGAGGGGGAACCTGTTCTCTCCTCATACAACTGCTGCTATATAGAATGTAGTGCAACTGTGAGTTCTTGTCACTAATGGTTTCTGCTATTTCACCTTTGTCGCATTCCTGTAAAGAGCAGGTTTGCCCAGATAGAGACAAACTTTTTAAGTTCTTGAGGGTAAGTCTGCATCTTGAGAGGGAGATGAGAAGCAAAGGGAGCCTGAAGCAACTCTGCGAAGGCCTCCTCATTAGCTTGCTGGAGAGCTGGGGTAGCACGAATCCCTGTTGCAGGCACAGGCCAGGACACCAATAGTCCTGCAGGCTTTAGGAAAAGGACCTGGCTGGCTCTGCTGAAGACACTGTGTGACTTTGGTCAAGTCATTCTGGGCCTTGGGATCTTCATCTCGACAATGAGAACTCTGTTGCCCAAGGTCATTTTCAGTTCTAATGTTCTTTGAACTTCTTTCCAGCACCAAGTCCCGACCATGCCATCATCGCACTATATTTTCAGGAGTCAGAGTAACATGCTTAGCACTGATGTTTCTGTTTCTGGACCCAAGAGATTTTCAATAGCAT